AAGTATCGGTCAGTTCTATTCAATTATTATAGTGGTGTTCTGGGTCAGCACCCCAAATTCAAACCATAACTACATACTAATAATTTTTATTGCTTCCATGAAATATTTATGTTTCAATTCACTAAATACATTTCTTCTCACACCTATTATTTTTCCTAATTTAGGTATCTTACTTTGATAATTTGATCTCTACATGTTGATGTTTATGTCCTTCACTTTCAGATTTATTAAAAAAAGCGTATGCATATGTACAAATTATGTCTTACTCAATAACAAAATTGTCGGTAATTGATTCGTGGACACGAATTGCCACAGTTCTATTTGGGTATGCACTAGTTATAAAAATATTCTGCAGAACATGAGTGTCTATACTTTGTGCAAGTAGACACTATTTTGTCACGATTGGAATTTGTGATGCATTGTTTGGAACCCATTGGGGTAGTCAAGTAATGAATATTAATGGATTTTTTTCCCAACACCAAATCGTTATTTTAACACCTCGACACGTGTTTCGATCACCAAGTGATCATTTTCAAAAGGAAGATCAAGATCAGTTAGAAGATCAGTAAAGATGATCACTTGGTGGTCGAAACACGCGACGAAGTGTTAAAATAACGGTTGGGTGTTGGGTTAAAAGCTCCAGTAATTTTCACGTTTAGAATTGTTAACATGGACATGGTTGAGTGTATATGTGTCTAATCCACAATAAATATTAAATGAATTTATATTGTGTCCAAGATAAAGATGACCAGCATGAGGAAACGGAGTGGAGATACAAAGTAGATTGAATTAGGAGAAAGTTGCCCATTTCAGAGTTCATTTAAATGACATAAAATGTACTAACCAAAGCATTATTGCGAAACATACCTTGTCGTCAAAACTTTTTGGTGATAGTTCTCGGATACGAAAATTTCAATTGAAAATCTGTACAAGCGCTTGTACAGATTGAAAATTGATAACGAGAAAGCTTTTATGTTGACATTGGCGAATTTTAGTTCAAAGGCGTCTCGATATTTCACCCGTTTTTCCTTTTCGTCTTGCTTGATCGAGAAGAACTACATTAGGCTGATGATCTGTGTGGATCTGAGAGTGGGAAATAAATAGTTTCAATAAATTTGGTACTTCTTATTCCCCACAATGTATTCAATATCCCCGGAGCGTAGAGTAACGCCGTTATTATTATTGGCCACTGTCAAACAACAGATTCATCAGTTTCTCATATCTATAATTAACTCACTAAAAATATTATTTTCACAACACTCCAGGAATGTACCTCTGTGAGAGGACTGGTCATGAGGGGAACATAGTTCTGGATACCCTGAATAATCACCTCAACAATAATGGATTCTACACATTTGGATATTCAGATGACATAGTCATCTTACAGACCGGCAAATTTGTGAACACATTGTGCGAGGGAGTGCAGGATGGGCTCAAATTAATAGAATAATGGTGTAAGAAACACTCATTGTCGATCAATCCCAAGAAGACTGAGATAGTACTTTTCATCAGGAAAGAAGTTTATCGGGCTTAAAACCTCCTGAAATCTTCAAAAGCAAATTAAACTTCTCTGAAGAGGTGAAATACCTTGGTACTATCCTCGATAGGAAACTAACATGGAACTCTCACCTACAGAGTAGAGCAAAAAGAGCATATGTGGCTTATGAGTAATGTCGGAGGACAGTGGGACGCGCATGGCGCCTTTCACCCCGTGTGGTCACCTGGATCGAATACTGCAATAATAAGACCTATGTTAACGTACGAGACCATTGCATGGGGACCGGAAGTTCTACAAGCAACGGCCATCCAAAAACTATATCAAATACAGCGACTGGCTTGTTTACACAACACAGAAGCCACGAGAACAACACCGTACGAGGCAATGAAATTAATTACGGGTCTGACACCTCCGGACCTGTATGTTAAGGAGGTTGCGTTTATGGCTATGTTACGATTGCGCACGGCTGGTGTAAACCTTGAAGTAGGAATGGGTCAATTGAGGCTGAGCCTATGGCGAGAAGCGCTAACTCCGCAACCTCTGCTGCAGGCAACCAGTGATGCAATTGAACCCAGGTTTGTTTTTAATAAACCCTACAAAATACAAATAAAACAGAACATAGAGTCAGATGCTACAAATGCAATACGCATATATACAGACGGCTCAAAAATCAAAGAAGGCTCAGGATGTGGAGTGTACTCCAGATCACTAAGCCTAAGGATTAAGTGGGAAATGGGAAAAATACCAGCGTGGTCCAAACAGAACTGGCTGGTATCTCAATCGCCACAAAAGAAATAACCAGGAAAGGAATTTCTGGCAAAAATATCTGCACTGACAGCAGATAAGCCCTATTAGCCTTGAACAGACAACGTGTTACCTCAGGGCTAGTACTAGAGTGCCACCAAGATTTAGCCAAAGCGTCGGTAGATAATAACAATATCCTGAGGTGGTTTAAAGGGCACGACAGGAGTAAAGGTAATCGCATTGCCGACTCTTTAGTCAAGGAAGCGGCTGGGCTGAGAATTTTAGGACCCAGTGGCACCTACGCCTTGATGACAGTTGCGGAACTAGCCAAATGTTACACCCATGCTCAATCCCTGAAGAGATGGGATGGAATCAAAGGATGTAATCTTGCCAGGATCACCCTAGGCGACTCTGGGAAGCTGGCGCCGAAGAAATATCTGGCGATGACCAGGTAAAATATACGCTTAACAGTAGGATTTCTGACTGGCCACTGTCCACTAAGAAAGCATCTCCATAATATGGGGCTAGTGAACACATCTCTATGCAGGATGTGTGAACAGGAAGATGAGGCTGTCAGGCATGTCCTATGCGAGTGCCCGGAGTTATCGTCAATAAGAGAGTGTGTGTTCGGCAAGTCTTGGCTTACACCTGCCGATATAAAGGAGATGTCTCCCAGTGACCTGTCCACCTTCCTGGAAAGGACAGGATGGAAGATGACCTAGGAGGACAACTTCTCGGGAGGATGTACAATGGGTCTCATGTGGCCTAAGTGCTGTGGGCTCACACTCATCCTTCCTATTCTACAGATACAGATAATACTTTCACAAATTCGCAAATAAATAACTTAACACACAATAACTTAACACAAAACAATAAGCATAACCTATGTTCAACATTCAGTTATTTCGATCAGCAGTTAGCTGTTGAGAAGCGCCATCATTGATAGAAATTTTTTCCAATAGTATCATCGACCAATAAATACATATAGTCTCGTCAATGAATATATAAAATTTCGGAAATCGAAACAGCTCCGGTTTTGATGAGTTTTTCATGTTTGTTTTTAATATTGTTTGCGGCAACGCATCGTTGAGCACTTCGACCGTTGTAGCATCGTCTTTGATAATGTCTGCCAAAGTGGCAGACGAAACCGTCATATATAAAAACCTGTAGACCACGGCTAATAAACCCAGATACATCGAAAAACTTTTNATTCGAGATGAATAACAAGAAAATACAGACGAAATTGAATTAGAAAATGGTCTCATATCAAGTTACTCCACAATGATTCAATTGTTGGTTTTTACAATCTTCTTTGGATGATAACTGGATTATTGCTGATATTCGAGAACATTTATTTTATTTATGGGTCACTTAGGCACTCGGATGATAAAAAAATTATTGCTGATAGTCGTAACTATTTATTTATAGGTCACTTGGGATCTTTCACCTCTCCACTCTCCCATCTCTTCGAATTCCAGTTCAGTGCAACGTAGACTGTTTCCCCGCTGGATAAAAAATTTCCGTATGTTTCGTATCTCCACCAAGTCTTGCCTGGATGCCCCGTCGGTTAACATGTATGCAACTTCTTTGAACTTCTTCTCAAACAAGTGTCTCTCCCTGTGGATGATCTCTGTAATTTCCTTAGAAACTTTATTTTTCAAGAAAATACCAAATTATACTTTTTGACGTCTATTGACCTTTTTTGACAATCAACAACAACAACTTTTTTTATGAACACCGTGAAAGTTCTCAAGAATTTTCACCAAATTCAACATCCACCCTACAGATTTTGGTTACAGGACGTTTGAAGACTCCTGTAGATGTTTTCACCTCGACTACTCTCGTAACATTGTCCTTTCCTGGAAAAACTGCAGTGATCCTACCCAGTGGCCAAGTATTTCTCGGAAGGTGACCATATGCAATGACGACTACATTGCCAACTGCAACAGGTTTATCATCCTTGATCCATTTTGCACACTTCTATAAAGTCGGTAAATATGCCTTGATCCACCCTGACCAAAATATCTCTGCCAGCCTTTGGGACTTCTTCCACTGCTTTCTTAGGTTTTGTTCTTCGAATTTTGTTGGAAATGGAAGATGATTTGGTGTCAAACACTGAGGATCGGAAAGATCCTCAATGGTCTACTATTAACTGCATACTCAGCTTCCGCGAACAATGTTAATTAATAACATTTCATCTTCAGGAGATTCTTCCTTTAAAGTAACCCCCAAAATTTTCTTGACTGAGCCTATTAACCTT